TTTTTTTTTTTTGAGATGGAGTTTTGCTCTTGTTGCCCAGGCTGGAGTGCAATGATGCACTCTTGGCTCAGTGCAACCTCCACCTCCCAGGTTCAAGCGATTCTCCTGCCTCAGCCTCCCAAGTAGGTGGGATTACAGGCAGGTGCCACCATGCCCAGCTAGTTTTTGTATTTTTAGTAGAGACAGGGTTTTGCTGTGTTGGCCAGGCTGGTCTCAAACTCCTGACCTCAGGTGATCCATCCACCTTGGCCTCCCAAAGTGCTGGGATTACAGGAATGAGTCACCGTGCCCAGCCCCAAGTTCCCTTAAATCATGTAAAATTTCATGAGTATGTGGCACGTGCAGTTTTCGGTGAAGAGGATCCTTAATCTTCATCAGCTTCTCAAAGTGATCTATGAGCCAAATTTAAAAAGACCCATCAGCACCAACTATGGTTTCTCTTCCAGAAGCTGGCCTTCTCAGCTCTGGCTTGACCTACTGGTATAGTGTGTAGCTGGCTTTGGAAAGAAAAGGAAACCCTATTTACATTATCTGTATTCCAGCATCCTCACCTCTTCCATAAGTCTAGCTGAGTAAGAGTTTGGATCTTAGTTCCCACCTTTTCCTGTGTATTCATTATGATGCATGGAGCGATGAGAGTAATTCCCATGTTAAATGTGGCCAGAGAGGTTGGCAGACCAAGGAGCAAGTTACCGTCCTCCCAGATTACCATTACACTTCCACAGAAAGTCCTCTAAAACACTTGCCACAGATATTACCAAATTGTCACCCTTTATTGCATTATAGTAAGCCTTTGAGGTAGAAATCACTAAAATTACTTGCTCCAGGCCATAAAGCAGACCAAGTACACCTCAATACCAAAGCTTTTCTCCCAGGAAAAAAAAAAAAAAAACGGACCCAGGGACCCTCAGGGTCGGCAAAGACTCTTCTAAAACATCTGTCCGGGCCAGCTCCTCAGTTGGATCGGTGCTGACAGAAACAGAAACGCCAGGGGCCGGAAATGTGGCCAGGACGATGCCCCTCTGTTCTGGGCACCGTTTGTTCGAATACCTCGTCAGGTATCATCAGGTGTCACTCAGGAAGGAGACACGCCCTGCCTGGACTGCAGCGAACGCTGGGCGTTACGGGGTACGTGGTGGCCCTCAGGTTACCGACTGGGTCCGTTAGATTCCAGAGGACAAAAGGCAGGGAGCAGCCTGGTCTTGGGGTCTTTAAATAGAGAGGTGCCATCTACTGCCGAAAACCAAGTCAACATCTCGGGACAAAGCTGCACTCACCCCCGGCCGGCTGAGCTCTGGGCCCCTTTAGCCTTTCTTTGAGCCTGGTCCAGTAAAAAGCAGCCCCAGCAGTCCCAGCTGAAACGCTCCACACCCGGGCCCCGCTGAACTGCAGAAGCGAAGACTGACAAGCACTCTGTCCGCTCGTAGAGTGGGAGCTCGCGGCACCGGCGGCTCCGCCCAGGCCCCCGCACACTCACTCACCAGCCTGGTAGCTCTGTAAGGCCCGGGCCCCACGATGCGATGCTCCATGGCGAGTAGGCAGCAGCGGCAGCAGCCGCGCCAG